GGGTCCCGTCGTCTATTTACGGCGCGGGCTAGGCTTGGTCGGTTTTCGACGACTGCCGTTTCACCCCCAAGTTTGGGGATTTCGTCACCTCAGCCATTCTTTCAGGCCTGTCGCCGTGCGTTGCGCGCCGGCGACGCGGCGAGCGTCCCGCTCCAAAAACGCGGGCCTTTTGCAGGCCCCTCATCTTTAGAAACCATCGGCCATACCTGGGCATTTGGCCTCGAAGGGGCCGATAAGATGTCTGGATTGTGTTGTAGTTTACTTAAATTCATAGAAATAAGCGGAATACAAGGGGTGCGTTGTTTGACAACGGCTTTGTTAAGATTCACCGCTCAAGGCCGAGGGCTCTAGGCCGAGGGGATGGTAATGTGCCTCGAGGTCGAGGGCCCAAGGCTGAGACTAACGCCGAAGGCGAGGAACATGATTAGCGGAGGTGGCGCTTCTTCGGCTGGGGCTCCTCGAACTCCTCGTCGTCGTTGAGCCTCCCGATTTCATGTTTCTTTGTTGTGATGTCCCCTTCTTCTTTATCGGTATTCTCCCCGGTGTTTTTCCTTGGGGCATTTTTGATGAATTGGTGGAGCTCACCCCGTTGAATTAAGAGCTCAATAGCCTTCTTTAACGAGACACAATCGTGTGTATTGTGGGTGAGGAAGCGTTGGGCAAGATCTTGCCAAGAGTCAATGCTGCCCTCGGGCAATCGGTTGAACCATTCGTATGCTGGTCCCTCCAAGGTGGAAAGGAACCAACGACATAAGTATTCATCTGATGCCCCCATCATCATCATGTTGTTTTGATACCTGTTGTAGTGCTCCTGGGGGTCAGTTTTTCCTTCATAGGGCTTGATGAGTTGCCCTTGGTACTTTTCCGGGATTTGGGCCGCCAATACCCTTGGGGTAAATGGTGTCCTAGTTCGGAGTTGGATGACGGGTTCCCCGGAGCCTTCGGCAAATTTCCTTTGCATCTCCTCCATTTGGGCCAACATGGCCTCATACTTGAGGTCTGTATGAGGGGCAGAGGTGGTGGCGTGTGCTTTGGTGGCCTCCATCTCATCAAGCCGGCGTTGGAGGGCCGCGATGATTTCGTCCCGGGGGTCCTTCGGGAGGGCCTCCGCCCCCTGCGAATGGACGCGGGCCGAGTGGGCCTGGTTGATTTGGTGGCGGGCGTTGTTGTCATGGAGAGGTGCCTTGCCTTTGTCCTGAGGGGGACGCCTTTCATTGGCCTTGGAGACGGATCCGCCACTTTCTTGAGACCTCAGGAACACCTTCCCCCTGAGGCGGTCTTGGACCCCTCGGTGGTCTTGCGCCCCTCCGAGTCTCTCGAGGGCGGAGGTCCGGAGTTGTTCTTTGTTTACGTTGTGGCGGTCTCGGGACTGGACTTCCTGGGAGGCCGTATCCTGGGCCACGACCCCCTCGGAGTTCCCAATCCGGAGGACCGGGTTCCCGAGGGGGTGTGGATGAGGGGGAGGCATAATATTCTCCCCAACCTGAGGCTGGTGGGGAACCAAGGTGCCGAAGGCACCTGGGTTCTGAGTGAGCGTCTGGATGAAGGCGGAGAGCGCCGATTGAACGTCGATGGTGATGACCGGGGGGCTAATTTGATTTTCGCTCTGGTCCTTCTTCTTAGCCTCGATGCCGAGGCGGGCATCGGGGGCATTTTGCTGAATCTGCTGGCGTAGGTCGACAACCATCTGGTCCATCCCGGTGATGACGCGGCCCCGGGAGCCCTGTTGGAGGCTTCGGGGACGTCGACCTCGCCGAGGGCCAGGTTCCTGTCCTCTACATTCTTGGAGTTGGCACGAGTTGTTCTCACCATTGCGGATGGGTGTTTTTGTGTTTGGTCGAGGGGGAGGGTTTCTTACTCGATTGTTCGACCTCTCAACGAGAGCACCAAATGATGGATAGTGTACCCGAGGGGTAGCTTATCCGAGGGGTTATTGCGGAGAATAACTAGAGAGAAGTCAGAGCAAATAAGTAAGAGAGAGAGTGTATATTCGATATGTATTAAGCGTGGTTTACAATGGGGGAAAAGGGTGTTATTTATAGTAGTAATAAATGCTAGATAAGGACACATGTCAGTTTTCTGGTGGTCGAGGGGTCACCTCGACCGGGGTGGCACTGACACTCGCATGTGGCCGTATTAAATGCGGTGGTTGGATGTGACGTTTGTACTTGGTACGGTGATCCAGACGCATGTGAAGAGGATATTTTGTCGAGGTGGATGCCTTCGGCTGAAGGGTGTTGGGCCGAAGGCTCTTCTAACCGAGGGCTCCTACCTGCCGAGGGCTGCAGGTGCCGAAGGCTTGGTTTTCAAGCCTTGTTCTCCTGTGATGCCTCTTCTAACCGAGGGCTCCTACCTGCCGAGGGCTGCAGTTGCCGAAGGCTTGGTTTTCAAGCCTTGTTCTCCTGTGATGTTTCTGAGCTCGATTCCGTCACTGGTAGCCTTCGGCCATGGGGCCGAAGGCACCCCTTTGCGTATTGTGGGCTGCTTAGAGCTCCATTTTTCTGGGCTTGGCCCGTTTGGGCCTGTTGGGCCTGATTGTAGTAGAGGAAGTATGTGGGCCGAGGGTCCCTGGGCCATATACTCCATCAAGTTTATTATTAATAAATTTATCCTTAATTTACAAATTTTATTCTCCCGTGCATCGCACGTGTAGAATACTTGTATAACTACATATCTAGCTAGTGGTAATTATTTTTTGGGTTATGCTATAAGTACACACTGGATATTTATGATATAAATATGTTCTTACATATTTAATATATGTGACAACATCGTATTGTTTATAAATTTGTTGCCCGAATCAAGCCACAAAAAGCATAACCTACCATCGGTGGGTCAGGGTGGGGATAGTTGTTCGTTTGATAGCTCTACCCGAGATTTTATAGACACAACAACATCCAAGCCGAATTTCATGGATAGTTTTCGAATTTAATAAAAACTTCATCTAATTAACGCACATACCCAATGTTTTAAAAGGCGGCAAAAGGCAGGGTCTAGGTGCGCCTAGGCGTGAAGCGGCAACGGAACGCCTCGCATTGTAGAAGGGCGTGGAAATGGCAGCCAACTCAAGAGTTGACCATCAAAGACATGAAAATGTGTAATCCTAGACGTGCTTAGACGTCAAAAGTTTTTTAGATGAATTATATTTTGCAAAGAAAATACTGATTAAATTTAAAAATAAAATAACTTTGATAAACATGTTACTCCGTATTATATATGGAATCTAATACGGAGTAGTAAAAATCAACAATATATCATTTTGTATTTGTACTTTTTATACATTTGGAATTACTACCCCTATCCTAAATTGATTTGCAAAATTGATTTTTCTTGTCAAATAGTTTCATTTTATCCGCTTAATTAGAATGCCAATAATTAATTCTATTCTAATTTGGAATTTACACTTTTGAAGAGATTTTAATGTAGTTTCTGAATATGTAATTTTTAATTATTGGATTTTGAATTAAGTGTCAATATGAGGATTTAACATTGTTGAAAAAATATTGACTTTGCAAATCAATTTCACATGAAGAGAGTATATATATATTTAACAAAGTAAAAATTAGGCTCAATCTTGTATAATACTTCATATATTTTGGATATTTATTTTCACCTTCATACCTAGTATATCACTATATAATAACAATTCTCAATAGAAATGTAAAACATTTTCATGCTTAAAAATGTAAAACGTCTTTTCACACACATGTTTTGTCTATTCTTACCTACATTTCAAATGTTTGAAACTTGATCTCGATGTCTTGTCATACCTCACGCCTTTTGTAACGGTTGCACCTACCCCAAGACCCATTTACTACGCGGTTTATACCCTGCAACCGGCGCATCATGAGGATGGTGCGCCCGGTTGCAAAACGAGGCAGTTTATACATATTTTTTATTTCTTTTATTGTTAGAAATTGTAATAACTTTTTTATTTGATATCCGATTTTTATAAATTTTATATCAATTTTTTTTATTTTTCATGATCTATCAAATGAGACCAATATTGCTTATGTAATTTTAACAAATTATCTTGAAGTTACATTTGATAATATATCATGAAGTTACATCTTCTTATGCGCGAGTTACATCTTATTGTACGCGAGTTACATCTTAATGTATGTGAGTTACACCACGAAATAAACTTCTACTATATCTTTCATTTTTATCATTTGAAAAATAGTGTATGAATATGAAATACAATACACTTATTTTATGTGGATTAATAAAATTTTGTATTAAATTGGCAAAGAAAAAAATTAATTCAGTTATAATTGAATTAGTTCAAGATAAAGATAAGTAAAAAATCACAAATAATTAGATATAACTCACACATAATTACATGTAACTCGCGCATAAAAGTATGTAACTCGTGTATAACAAGATGTAACTCACACATAACAAGATGTAACTCACACATAATTGCATGTAACTCGCGCATAAAAGTATGTAACTCGTGTATAACAAGATGTAACTCACACATAATAAAATGTAACTCACACATAATAACTTGTAACTGGAGTATAAGATGATGTAACTTCGTATATTATCAAATATAACTCCAAGCTACAAGCAAAATAAACAAACTCAATATCTTAAAAACCTATAAAAACTTATAAAAGTGATAAAAATATACGGAGTATTACAAAAAAATGTATGAATGTAAAAAATTAAAATTACATAGGCAATATTGGTGTCATTTGAAAGATCATGAAAAATAAAAAATTTTGATATAAATTTTATAAAAATCGGATCAAAAATAAAAAAAATTATTAACAATTTTAAGGAAAGGAGAAATAAAAAATAACAAATGGTGTATGGGCTCACCATGCACCGACGGTATAAACAATGTATTTACTGGAGGTTGTAGTGTTGTTCATCCATCACAACTTTAGAGGCCATAAAAAAGAGAAAAAAACGCAATTGACCGTTATGGTAGGACGTCTTATTGGTGACATATTCAAGATGGCAATAGAGTAATTTGCATAAAATTGAAAAACCTGGAGGGTGGAGCCGAGCTAGGCAAACGTCTTCTTCCCAAAAACTGTCGGTGCTCTGCCCATTTCTCCGCCAATAGAAACTTGGGTTTCTCAAATCCTTACAGAATTCATATGGTTCTTTCGTCCATTGCTGAACAAGGCTTATATCTATGATCTATTTCACCCCCCGACCCTTTCCATTTCATTTTAAAAAAACAGAGAGAAAGAAAGTACCATAAGAAGGAGAAAGTTTTCTAAGGCTTTCATCATTCGTGGCTTATTTGTTGGTAATGCATAGAGGTAAATGATGGGGAGGAGGACAAGGCCGAAAGGGAGATGTTGTGGGTGGTTTCTGACCGGAATAGTTGCGGCGGCGATCGGCGTATCTATATATGTGCTTATTCTGAAACACAAGGATGAAGAGCCTTCGGGAGTCACTAACCAGAAATACGCTAATGCTCTTAAAGTTGCATTGCAATTCTTCAACATACAGAAGGGTATGATTATCATTCCATTATAATGCATGACTAGTATTTTTTATATATGTAAGATGTGAAACATATATATAGCTTAACATCTAAAAACACTTCATGTTCAAAAACTAACATCATTATTAAAGACCATTTGGCATTAATATTGTCAAATGACTCAAATCCCTCTTCAATGAACCCAACAAATTGCATGTCTAGGTTAACTGATCTTAGGAGTTAGCACGTCTAGGTTTTGGTTCAAATAAGAACATGATATTAGAAGAGAAATGATAATGAATCTGGACCGTTAGATTTGCTTTAAGTGAAATTCGGTGTGCATTAGATGAAACTGTAGTGTGCATTAGGTGAAATTGAAATGTGCAGCACAAATGATACGATACAGTGACATTATGTGAAACTGAATTGTGCATTAGGTGAAATTGAAATTCGCACGAGGTGAAACTGAAATATGCAGAATAAAAGGGTACGATGTGATATTATTTTTGTAACTTTTATTTCGCAAATTTCAGTTTCATTTAATGCATACTTGAGTTAAAAAATTGATTCTGCACATTTCAATATCATCTAATGCACATTTCAGTTTCACCATATGCACAATTTCAGTTCCACATAATACAATCCAACGATCCAGATTCGTTCTCATTTCTCTCCTGGGAGTCCGTTCTTACCGGAACCACTATATATATATATATCGTTTTGTTGTGTTTAATTTGTATATATGGGACATTTGGTTCCAAAGTAATTATTGAACTACTTCATCAATATAAACTGAAAATTTGGATGGCTATTTTTCGGTTTTCATTTCCTTATTGCATGTCTTGGGCTCTTGGCAAATAGTTTATTCAAGTACAAACTCAACCTATTTTTGGAGTTCATAAAAACTTAGGTAAAGGAAATGATGTATGGACCTATATCCTATTGGACATTGCACACTTTGAATTATGTAGGAAATAAGAAAAGTTAAAATTATGTGATACAAGTTTATACAGATGAGAGAGAATTGAGCAGTACTACCCAAAAATATTTTATAAAGAAAGTGACAAAGTTTTTGAGACGGTCAAGAGGGAAAAATTAGCAAAGTTTAATGGGACGGAGGGAGATACTGAGAAAGATATTTCCTTAATTTTGGAGTTATCTAAGAAACAGGGGCGGATCTATGAAGGGTAGTGTGGGGGTAGCTGCCCCCAATAAAATCCTATTAATCCATATAATTTATTAGTAAATATTGAAAGTTTTAGTATTTGCCCCCAATGAAAAAAATTGATTGCCCCCAATACCTCAGCAGTCCGGCCGTCCGCTCCAAAGCCGTAAATAGGAAATTCAGATTACGGAATCACCCAAACCAACAAATGCAATTACGATTGACTAAGCTCAAATACGACAATTTGCTGGTGAATGGGCAAATAGGGAAGAAAACCTAGGCACTTTGATTAGTCGTGCCTCTCTGTTGTTAAGTCATAACGGAGTATTACTTTTTACATGAAGAACATCTATAAGATTTAATTTATTGGTGTACATCTATACAATTTAATTTAATTGAAGAGTTACTTAAATAATTATACATCTATTAGAGTCTAATTTCTTACATCTCAAAGAAAATGTTATTTAATAAGTAAAAAATCATAGAGAAACGATCAGGTGAGAAGTGTCCCTTAAAATGAGAAGTGAGAAGTAATCTCAGCACTTGGATTTGCATGTGATCTTGCAACGCAGTAACTACGCACTGAATATAGTAACTTATAACCAATAAATCATAACTTATAAAGCTCTCCATCATAATTACGAAAATGTCACCGCGTCCAAAAAAATTCAAGGTTTCCAGGCTTATTTTTTTGTGGTGGCATTTTCGTAATTGTTTTCGACGGAGTCTATAAGTTATGATTTATTGGTTAAAAGTTCGCGTTTTTAGTCTATTAGTTAAACTTCACAGTTCTCAGCCTAAGGACACTTCTCACCCGATCTACTCCCAAAAATCATAACTCTAAATCACATTTTAAATAAAATGTATCAATGCAATAAAACTTTAATGGGTCTCTTCCAAAAGATGAAAACTTGGTGCAAACAATTGTTATGTATTTTGTTAGAAATTTTGTCATTGTAACAATATTATACAATTATACTTTATTACTACACTATTTTATTATTATTTTGTTGTACTATATTACTACCTTCATTCGTGCATAGGATTGAGGCATGAAGAGGTGATGCGCTTATAATAAATGATTTTGTGTGATTTATATTGAATTAATACATTAAGCATAAAGTAAACATGATTTAAGATATTTTTACACTGACTTATCTTAGTCTCATATCAGACCAAATTTTAACAAACCAGATCAGACCAAATCAGACTTCTGCAGTCATGAAATACACAGAGACTAGACCGAATTTAAACGGACTAGAAAAATTCAATCCAAGTAAAAACATCCTTAATTATTAGAATCACACAAACCTTTCTAAATTTAATAAAGGATAATCTTAGTGAGACAGATCAAAAACATATGACATTCTTAGCGTGGTGGGGGTTATTTTTTAATTACTCTGCCCCCAATAAGCTTTTTTTCTGGATCCGCCACTGCTAAGAAATACAAAGAAAAGAACTACTCCGTACTACCCATACCAAATTTACAGTGTAAGGCTAACCGCAACCCTCTCCGTCAATAAATCAAATATCCTTCCAGTTTATACGTATTCACTCAGTCAATTCAGTTTTTCTCTGCAATCCAGCATCGTCAAAATATTCACTCAATAAAGTTTTTATAGTTAAATCTTTACTTTTTCTTATTATACATTTATTTTTGCCAAATTTCTTTTTACGAATAATTATAATTTAAAAAGTCAAACATTCTGATGTAAAAATAAATCAATTTGGGGTGTAATTTTTTTATTGTTACTTCAAAAAAAATGACTTCAAACTTATTATTGAAATTTTTTTGTTTTTTATTGTTACTTCAAACTTATTTTTGAAAAAATTAACAGAAAGATGTAACAAAAAAAGTAATCATGAGATCTTAATTTGGACATTTTGATCTACTTAACAAAAAAATTGAGCCTAAAAATCTCCACCAGATAAAATATCATATTTTTATTTGTAAATTTTACATATTCAATATTGGTGTCATATCAAAGATTATAAAAAACTATAAAATTTGATATATTTTTTGTAAAAATTTGAATTCAGACAAAAAAAGTTATACAACATTTAAAAAATTTGGGATTTATTAACTTGTGGGCCCATGCTCATTTTCTTGCATGCGTCATTCTTCTCTCTCCAGGGTGGAGGAGGGTATTAAATCCCCACTTCAAAAGAGTTCCCAATCCACTTTAGCACCTTCCAATACATTTTTGGGATAGGGTTGCAGCACATTTAGGGGTGAATACCTCAAATTTGGGATTTCCACCCCATGGATTGCAATCAGCCTAACACATGGAGGGAGATACCTAGAAAGATATTTTCTTGTTTTTGGAGTTATCTAAGAAATACAAAGAAAAGAACTACTACCCATACCAAATTTACAATGTAACACTTTTGGACCTATATACTATCTTATGGGCCTAACTTTTACTAAATTAATAGCAAATCATTATAGAAGACTTTGGATTGATATTTGGTTGCTTGGTTGACTTTAGATTAAGTTTTAATATGATATTGGAATGTTATTTAATGTCTCTTTGGTCTATTTAAAAAAAAATATCTCTAGAACGAATACTATAATAGGTTAAAAACGCGTTCAAATAAAAAAATCTTCATTTTATTTAAGTAATTCCTTTTGTTTATGCACATATAATTGTTTTTCATTTTTAAGGTGAATTGTTTGTGTAAAGACAAAATTGTTTGTTGATTTATCCGGTGAACATATTTTTTTGTCACACAATTCAATTAAATAATTTTTAAAAATGTACATGCCAAGACAAAATCGGTATAAGCTGGAGAGCTTGTAGAAGGAGGAGAGTTGATTTTATTTTGCACGTAAAAACGGACCCTTTACATTTGCAAAACTAAAGGTATCAAAATGTACCTTTTTACCCCACCCCTAATGTAATGTGTGGTCTTATTTAAGTGGTGTCCGTTTTACCAATTTAATGTAACGTAAAAATGGACTACATTTTGGTACTTCTCTCAAAACTCTTACATTTGGGGGGCTGAAATTCACTTGCAGCTGGGAAGCTGGACAAAAACAGAATACGGTGGAGGGGGGATTCGGCGCTCAAAGATGGAAGCGAAGCGAAGCTGGATTTGAGCAAAGGAATGTACGATGCAGGAGACCTCATTAAGTTTGGTTTCCCGATGGCTTACACTGCAACTGTGCTGTCATGGGCGATCCTCGAGTATGGCGACCGAATGGCCGTCGTCGACCAGCTTGAACCTGCCCGTGACTCGCTCAAATGGATAACTGACTTCTTGGTCAATGCACATCCCTCTCCTAATGTCTTGTACATTCAGGTTCCACTCTTATCCTTTCTTATTCTTGTTGTTGTCGGTCCTTAATTTGCCATTTGTGTATGTAGGAGTGCAGGGCATTAGGTGGAATATAATGTTTGAAATATTTTCAGAGTAATGGAGATACTTTTCATAGGTTTTTCAGTTCGAAATTTCCTATGGCTTTCTAGCTGACCAGTGACGGAATTTATGATCATTGGGATGATCTAGCAGTAATTGTGAAATGTAAATATAAAATATCTGCCTGCCCCTGTGATGAATGCCAGGATTAGTAACAATGTGTTTCTTCGATTGGTATATCCGTTGGAATTTCCTATGGATGTATCCTTTGGAAAGCCGGGCGGGATATAAAAACTGTGCTTGGAAAATTTTGTGAGTAGTATTTCTGGATAGCCTATTCCTTCGGATTGTATCCGTTAGAAAGCCGCCTGAAATCACATCCCCCACATCAAAGTAGTTAGTATCCATCAGAATTTCATGTTCTTATGCACTTATTAGCCCCTTGCTTCCTCATTTTTTAGCTTATAGTTATCAGACGCAGGCCGACTTTATTAAGTAAACTTGCCACACTCTAAAAAGCATCTGAAGTTTACCTCACATTTTGTATCAAAACTTTTATGCAGCCCCGTGACTCCATTATGGACTTTCTATATTTTATATATCCTACATTGTATATGAGTTCCATAGTATAGTGGAGGCCCCCCTATGAAATTGACTAAGTGAGTGGCTATGCTGAGACCAAATAAGCTCATATGACTATAACAGAGTGATATAGGGCTCCATAAAATTTCAACTCTATTTTTTTTAAATACTAGAATTAGATCTCTTAAACAATGAGACATTTAAAAGACATTACATTACTAACATGAATCTGGTACTCATTGCCTCATTGGAAGGTCGGGGATGCAGAACATGACCATAGTTGTTGGGAAAGACCAGAAGACATAAATAATGATAGACCATTGATCCAAGTGAATGCTTCTGTTCCCGGAACGGATGTTGCAGCTGAAACCGCAGCAGCTATGGCAGCGGCATCCCTCGTGTTTAAATCAACTGACGCTGATTATTCAACCTTGCTTTTGAAACACGCCAAACAGTTGTTCACCTTTGCTGACAAATATCGAGGATCGTACAGTGAAAATATCCCCGGAGTAGCAACATATTATAATTCGACTGGGTATGGGGATGAGCTTTTATGGGCAGCAAGTTGGCTCCATCACGCAACGGGTGATAGGTCTTATTATGAGTATGCAACTGGGGAGAATGCGGAGAAGTTTGTGAAATGGGGAAGTCCGACTTGGTTTAGCTGGGATGATAAGTTTCCTGGAGCTCAGGTAATTCATGTATTCCTATTTTGTTGTGTGGTTCTGTATGGTTCTGTTCTGCATACAATACTAAAGAGTGATATATGTTTTTTTATAAGGCTTGGTTTTGACACAGTAAGAATGTTTTTAATCGGACTGGTTTCAGTTCCAGACCAGGCTTTAACAAACTAGATAAGACTAGATCAGACCAAACCATATCAAGCCAGACCACACTAGACTTGGAAAATTGTAAAATACATATACAACATACATCTACAAGAACAGTTCAGATCAAACTTAAACAAACCAAATTAGATAAAAAATTAAATCCAATTAAAAACATCCTAATTGATTGGATTAATTGTTAAGTGTGACTGATCTCATTACAATTATAATACAATTGAGCAATCACATCCATATTTTGATACCTATTAGGTTCACAAGTGGTGTAGGTAGCGGGTGCCAAACAATTTCACACTGGCTAAGTATAAAGATACAAACTCACATGTAAGTTGTTCCTTATATGAGGTTTGGATTTTATGAATGAATTGGTTTCTAATCCACCTCAAATAAAAAAATTGAATGAAAACCAAAACCAACCGGATAAAAAATCATTAAAACTGTACCCATGAACCGCTAGATGCTGGTCTTAATCTGTGATGCTTAATTCAACTTATAAATGTTCATAACATTAAGAAACGATAAGAATAAAAGAACTTAATTTACGTAAGTTATTTCACATGGTCAAACTGCAGAAAGTTAGTAAAATCTGAATCCAGTAATTAAAACAGTCTAACCTATGGTATAAAAAATCACGTGTCTGTTGAACAATTTAATGTGGGCAGTTATTTCATTCAATTAAAATGAGAATACAGCTAGCTAGGGTTGTTGTTGCAGGTTTTGATTTCCAGGGTGAGTTTCTTTAAGAAAAAAGCCTCCCTCTCGAACTCAATTACTCTCCAGAAGTATAGAGGCACTGCAGAAGCAGTCATGTGTGGTCTCTTACCAACATCTCCAACCGCCACTTCTAGCAGAACAGACTGTAAGAAAATACACTCTTATCAATCATGTGGAACATCCACCTTAATCAGCATGCTTCATTCCTAGATTCTAATTCTAATTAATAATTTCCATATTGTTGTCATTGCAGCTGGTTTGATATGGGTAAGTCAATGGAATGCTTTGCAACATCCTGTCGCCTCTGCCTTCTTAGCAGTCGTTTATAGCGATTACATGCGTTCTTCTCACACCACTAAACTACTATGTGATGGCAAATATTTTTCATCATTCGATCTCCGAAAATTTGCCATGTCACAGGTGAGACTTCTATGTGTAATTTTCAAGCTAAGCATCATGCTTCCCTTTGAATGCCTCTTTTTTTCCTTGGAACTCATTACATCTAATACTAAATAATTTTGTATACATCGGCTGCACATGAAATAACAAACCAACATAAACAGCATTTGACTAGATCTCTTATCATTTAAACAAACTTTCTAGGATGAAGCCTTAAGAGTAATATGACATTAGAGTCAACCCCAATCGTAGTCATGGTGTGAGCTCCCTTGAAAACATATATGACTTGTTCAGACGAAATGTTGGGTTGTGTAGGTTTGTGCCATTATGAAAAACTGTGGGCTTCTGTGATGACTTTTTATCAGTCCATATGGGCTTCTTTGATGATTTTTTTGTCAGTCCGTACGAAGTGTTGTAGTGTAAGAGTGTGAAGACTTATTAAAAACAATTGCACAATCTAGATGAGTGATCTATATGATGTAGCATGAAAGGGTGTTAAGGGATTTGTCCATTGTTTGATGCCGCTCTGGAAATGCAAAAGAAAGTAAACATGATTGTTGTGTTAATTTTAGGGGGGTTTCTCTCTCCTAGAATAGTACTCATGAAAAAACGTCACTATTTTTTAAGTATTCCAAAAAAGACTAAATAAGTCACTAGTGATTATACCGTTTTTGGTGAAGCCCGTTAGGCCCTTTTTGGTTGGAGGGTTTCGGAGGGGAGGGGAGGAAAGTGGGGGATTTGTGTGTGTTTGGTTGAAGGAAATAGGGGGAAGGGGAGGAAAGTGGAAGGCTTTCAAATTCCTCCACTTCCTCCCATTCTAAACCCCCCAAATCGGGGTATTTCGGAGGAAAGGTGTTGATAATCACAAACTATCCATCTCTTACTTGAATGAACAAAACGTTATAATATAAAAAGGTAAAAAACAAAAAATTTTGAAAAATTTAAAAATTTAAAAATTTAAAAATTGAAAGATTAAAAAATTAAAAAATTAAAAAATTAAAAATTTTAAAAATTAAAAAATTAAAAAATTATAAATTAATAATTTTAAAAATTAAAAATAAAAAAGTTTAAAAAATAATAATTAAAAATTCCAAACTGAAAAATGAAAAATTATAAAATTAAAAAAGTAAAAAATCAAATAAAATAAAATTATGACTCATGACCATAGGAGTAATATTCACAATAGTTAGACATGTGTCTATTTTTTTAAGTAAGCTATCAAATAAAAGTAAATTGCGAAAATATTTTCATTAAATCTTTCCTCCTATTTCCTCCAACCAAACATAATTTTTTATCAAAATCCTTCCTTCCCCTTCCCTTCCCTTCCCTCCTTGACTCTCCCCTTTCCTCCCCTTCTTTGAACCAAACAAGGCCTTAGTGCCAGTGACCTTGCCCACATGTCAAAGTAATCTTATTTTCTTTGTGTCCGTTTTAGAAGTTATGTTTTGGTTATTCTTTTCTTTATTTCTTTTACATATAGTTAGATATCTTATTTTTTAATGATTGAAATAAATTGAAGTTTTAATAAAATCTAAGAAAATAATATTTTCTTTGAGTGTGAACCAATATGATGAAGTTTTTCTTTTGATCCAAATGTGCTCTATGATTTTCTTCTTATTTTCTTTCCCTAGCATTTTCCAAGTTCCAAGCTGCGCCCAAGTATTTTAAACTTTTTATCACAATTTATTACTTTGTACAGGCTGACTATGTGTTGGGAGATAATCCAATGGGGATGAGCTACCTCGTTGGGTATGGAGATAAGTACCCGAAATATGTTCATCACAGAGGAGCCTCGATCCCCGAGGATGTGAAAACCAGTTGCAAAGAAGGCTTCAAATGGCTTGAATCACCCAAACCAAACCCGAACGTCGCAATTGGGGCATTAGTTGGTGGACCATTTCTAAACGAGAGCTATGTTGATGCAAGGAACAACTCTATGCAGGGAGAACCGACCACGTATAATAGTGCACTCCTTGTTGGTCTCCTTTCTGGTTTGGTTACCACCTCTTCAGTGGTTCCATCTTTTGTATGAGGCAGGTGGTTCCTAGCTAATACACAACTTTATTCATGTACATAAACCCAACATTATACATCTTTATGTATACACACACACACACAATGCATGTACAGAGTATATCTTAAAATTCCTAGGTTCTTGAATGTTGCTATGTAATGTATGTATGTATACAGAATAATGGTTATGTACTTGTACTGAATATGGGGTAACAGATGGCAAACTTTTTGTAAGAGGTACGCGGATGGACGCTCGTCAAGTCAAATCCGGTTCTAGTCTGGTTATGGTCAAATTAGATTTAGGAACTGAAATAATTTCCCCTCTTGGGGTTTCATTCATCCTTAAGTCCTAATTTATACAATTGTGAGACATCCTTCCTATACAAGGAGCTCAAATATGTATATTTGTCTAACAGGTTAGTTCAGGTGTCCAGATTGAAAACCTTTAAATGGAGCCGGATTAACCAATCTTAATACCAATTCATGTACATTTCCTGTTTCTAGGTCTTCTTGAGTGTTTGGGCAGTTCTAAATTGAAACAGCTTTTCAAAAGAAAAGAATAAAACAAGGACTATAGTACTATACTCTCTGATATCATCCAATGTATAACCTTACTAGAATGTGATTGTACTATTAACTGCTTTGCATGTAAATTTACTTCTTAATTTCTTATCATCGGACTAGGACAGGGATGAGTAGCGCCTATGAATAAAAAATGCAATTTTGTAACTTATACTACGTACTACGTATTGAATTTATAATATGAATAATTTGAACCAACCAATATGATAACATATATAACGTGGGATGAGAACATATCTAATCTGACAACCCTGTATACCATAATCCCCCCCCCCCCCCCCCCCCCCCCCCAATTTAACTAAACAAGCACCTACGAATACAGGTAAAAGTTAGTGAATCAAGCCAATATATAAACTCGTGTGTGAAAATATATAGCTACAAGATGAATAAATGTCGAATAATCGAAAATGTTTGTTAAGCTTAAAGCTAGCTAGCTAGTACCCTACTACATATATACATACATACTCAAATGCGCGATTACACCCCTAACTGTACAATATGTATGTAAAATATTAATTAATTAGCTAGATCATTCCGTAATTAATAATAATAATATAATAATAGTAATAATAATAATAAAAGTAGTAATCAATAATTATAATAATTGATATATGAGGTCTCTCGATCAACGAGCGATTTCGGATTTGGCCGTTGCGAAACCCAATTGTTGCTCCAACTCCCATTTTAACTTTGGTGCTGCCTCATTGTGCTTTGGAACATAATCCTACATATACACACACAAACATCATGCCCTCATTACAATTTCATTATGATAAAGTATGAGTTTCATCTAACCACTTATGAACTAAATAAATTTTGAGCCACTACTACTTTCTATTAAAAGAAAAGTAAGGCGATAGAAAATTGTCTCATCTTTTCTTTTTGGTCTGTCCCAATAAGATTGTCTCATACCAAATTTGGTCAAATTTGTATGATTTTAAATTATTCGTGCTTTATTTATACTTTATCAATTCAATATCAACCACATAAATTCACTTTTCTTACGGTGCAACCTCTTCTTGTCAATGGTAGTGAGATGTAGGTTACTACTACGTTACGTATGAAATTATGTATAATTCTCAAATTTAACAGTGCACAATATTTGTGAATTGTTGTCATACATGTCCATCAATATATCATATTCTACTTTGATCATATATGTAGTAGGGGTGAACAAAAAATTAAAACCGAAAAACCGAAACCAACCGACAAACCGACCGATACCGAACCGACCAAAATCGAAACCAACTCAAACCAACTAATCATTGACGGTTTGGTTTACGGTTTCACTCAAAATTCATTGTAGAGCACATTTTAATACTCTCTGTACTGTTAAGATTGTCTCATCTTTTCTTTTTGGTCTGTCCCAATAAGATTGTCTCATAACAAATTTGGTCAAATTTGTATGGTTTTAAATTATTCGTGCTTTATTTATACTTTATCAATTCAATATCAACCACATAAATTCACTTTTCTTAATGACAGTGCAACATCTTCTTGTCCCAATGATAGTGAGATGTAGGTAGTACTACGTATGAAATTATGTATAATTCTCAAATTTAACAATGCACAATATTAGTGAATTGTTGTCATACATGTCCATCAATATATCATATTCTACTTTGATCATATATGTAGTAGGGGTGAACAAAAAAACCGAAAAACCGAAACCAACCGACAAACAGACCGAAACCAACCGACCGAAACCGAACCGACCAAAACCGAAACCGACTCAAACCGAAACCGACTCAAACCAACTAATCATTGACGGTTCGGTTTACGGTTTCACTTTTTGGGTTAAAAAACCGACCGAACCGAAACCGACCGATAACCGACAAAAAAACATGCTAAAACCGACCGAAACCGACCAAACTGACCAAAAATAACTGAACCGAAACCAACTCAAGTACTACGATTCGCTTCTCAGTTTCACCTTTTCTAAAACCGAAACCGATCAAACCGAACCAACCAAACCGAACCGACGAACACCCCTAATTAAATATGTAGCATGTAATAGGGGGATGCATTTGCGAAACACTTGAGTTGTTGTCCATGAATGAATGTGACTTACCTAAGACTGTACCACACACATGTTATTACTATTGAATTACTTTGTACACGAAAATAGTGACTACTTGCGGCGTCCGCGCGATGAGAAAATGTTGTTTATTTGTTCTTGGATGGATACGTTTAAGTATATTAGATCAGATAACGTTCATAAATGTCTTTTTAGTGTAGGTAAGTATTATGAAGTACATTGGATTGTACAATTTTAGCAATGATTGACAATATATATATATATATATATATATATATATATATACATATATATATATAGTGAATTATATAATGACATATCCCTTAACTTATCAAATAAGAATTTAGAAATAAATATTTTATGTAGGGACTACTTCTCAAAACACTGAAACTTTAGATAAGTATGAAGATAATTATCTATTTGTAATACAGTTTTATATTTATTTCACATAAAAATTATTTCAATTCATTAATTAATGACTCCTGCAATTAAGTTATAGAAGCTAGCAAGTCATCTTACTGGAAATGAGTATAATTAATTAGGGGATGGGATAGGGGGTAATGTGCATTAAAGGTATAAGACGGTAGGATGAGGGAAAATTTCGTAAATAGGAGTAGAAAAGTTTTGAAATTCCAAAATAGAACAATCATGTTTTTATTCTATAAATAGGAGTAATTTCTGTCAAGTTTGACATTATCATACTTTAAACATGAGCGTTGCCAAGTTTTTCCAAACTTGGCAATTATTACTCTTATTTAAAAAATAATAACATGAAAGACCTCTATTCAGGGCAATTTCTATTAGGATCATTAACAATATCATCAGCTATCTAGGTAAATGATAATTTAAAAACAATCCTCACAATGCAAGTTGTATGCGGATAAAAATTCCCTTATGTATATCGCCATTTTGGGATCTAATTTAATTCATGAATGTGGATATTTGATCTCTATTACTACCTCCCTCTCAAATCGCATGTTTTGCAAAATCAACATTTTTAGTAATGTTAAAGTTAAATCTTCCCTATTAATAATTAATTCAATTTTAATAATTAAAATTTACACATTCAAAAACTACATTAAAATTTCTACAAAGTTGTAAAACTCAAATTATAATTATAATTTAATTAAGAATTGAATATAATCAATTTACGTTACTAAACTTACTACTTTCTCTATTAATTAATTAATTAGTTTTGTTTACTACATAGTATTATTTTTCTCCTCCATACAAATCTCGAATGCACATTTTTTTTATTTTATTATTAAAGAATGGTCAATGTTAGGAGAACAAAAAATATGAGTTACATATATACGTGGAGTAGGAACGTACCTCAAGTTTGGACAAGAGTTCTTGGGCAGTTTGGGCAGACACAATAATGTGACGGGCACAAGGGGCGATGAATCCTTCGTCGACAGCTTTGTCTATGAAAGACAGAAGTGAATTATAGTACCCATCTACGTTCAGCAGACCTACCTGTAATGTAGTAAATACATCCATGCATCATACATAATGCATGTAAATATGTGCATGATATTTTGTCTTGAATAAATAATGTTATAAATAAGATCAAATTTCTTAATTAAATATGATTTGAATATAGGACTTATTTATTATTCCCTCCATTACGTTCTGTTGAAATGTTTCCACTTTTCTTATTTGAGTGTCTCATTTAAAGGTTCTCATTCCATTTTAGAAAATAATTACTCTTTAATTACACATTTACTCCAATTTATCTTTTCTATTCATTACATGTGAAGTCCTCTCACAATGTCTTATTCCCAACTTTTATTCCTTTAATTGCTTTCACTTTAATTTATATGTTTGTTTTTTCCTAAATTTTCTCTTTCTTTTTTTCACAATGTTTTATCTTCTCTTTCTTTTTTACTCAAATTACTTTATTTAACCATTTGTCTAAAAAACCGTGTCATTTAACGACAACGGAGGAGTATTAGCTAGAGAAATTTTGTGCTTTTAATAGAAATAAATAGTCATGTTTTGGGAATAGAATACAATATTATTACCCCGTTTATATACTTTGTCTATGTTTTGCTCTTATTTGGAGCAATTTCTTTATATACAACGCATTAAATGAATGCATCATAAGAACTTAGAAAACTAATTACACTATAAATGAAAAATATTCACTACAAAAAAGCAACGAATTTGACATGGATTTGATACGAATCCTTGACATAGCTTTGTCAAAATTTATAGGAATTTTGACACAGATTTGACATGGTTACGTCAAATTTGTTCTGAATTCCCTTCCAATGACGTTTTGTCACTAGCTATTTGGAACAAGGTCGTGCCAAAACTATGTATAATCCGTACCAAAAATATGTTTGTTAAACTCAATAAATCTGTACCATTATTTTAAAACTCAATATGTTTTTGAGTTCAAAATATGTTTAACTCAATAAACCAAGTTCAATAAATCTGTTAAACTCAATATGTCAATATTTTGAGTTCAAAATATGTTGAACTCAATAAACCAAGTTCGTGCCAATAATTTTTTTTTTTTTTTTGCGTAGTGATTCTAGGGTTTTAATAACATTATTACACCATTTAATATTAGAATGGGATATATGGGTGTAAACTGTAAAGTACGTTATTTGAAGTACTTATTATTACCGGTTTGTCGTGAATACCAAGCTGAGCCCAAGTGATGACTTCTAGAAGCTCCTCCAACGTACCGTACCCCCCTGCAGGCGACGATTTATTTAATTATTATGCAGTTAATTAGTTAATTAACGATTAACGTACGCCTGATTAAGAATTAAGGACGATGAGCTGTTTCCCAATATATGAATATACATAGACATATAACAAATTAATTAATTAACAAATCAGATTAGAAAGATAGCGACTCGGAACATACAGCGTAACGTTTTTTTATGAACATTATATATTGTTAGTTGTTGACGATATGATTTCCACTAATTACGTATTTACATGTGCTGGCCAGGCTTCTCATCGGGAAACTGATTGATATTGACTTCAATAATAATAATAACAAAAAAGTCACAGGAATTATAAATGCATCCATATAAAGAACTTTTAATTAATATGCACGGAGTAGTAATTAATTACTACAGAAAATTCCATTATGATGAGTAGTTTAAAAAAAGATGACACCAATAATATAATTAATAATTTGAACTAATTAACAAAATGGGTTTTGTATGAATACAAAATCCTTCAAATTTGATGGTCAGATTGCAGTTTACCAGGTTTGACTGACAATAAAGTAAACAGATCTCTATACACATTCCAATTATTTTTAGTAATTTTTTTATATATTCAAAAATTGCATCGAAAGTTTTACAAATCCGCAAAAAGAAACATCATAAAAATTTGATATATAAAATAAAAGATTAAGAGTAGTTTGTGTTGACAAAATGAATACGAAACATATCATCCCAATATTACTCCGTATTATTGTTGTTGTTGTGACTTGTGGTGTTGTCTCTTGTGGATGGTATTCTTAAGATTAAAATTTAATCTACTACTCCGTATTATTTATTTTTATAAGAGGTAAAAAAGGTTTTATATTCGGCGTTTTAGTTTTTTTTGGAAGAATATTCGTTATTTTAGTTAAAATAATGGAAAAGAACGATAATAATAATGAAATAGAAAAAGAAGAAGTAGGTACCGGGCAAGGCAATAAAAGCGTCAGCTTGCTTAGCCATTTCGGCTTTCCGTTGATGCATACCGGAAACCGCTCTCACTTCCCCAACAGTCTCTCCCGTGAGCTGTTTGTAATATAAATATATAATAATAACAATTAATTAATTAAATAATTAATCTTAATCATAACAAAAATGGTACATCAAAAAGCAAAATGTGATCGAGCAAATTAAAGTACGTACGTACATTAACAGAAAAAAAGAAAAGAAGCAATTAAAAATTCAGACTGTGACGTAACATTAATTAATTATTAAAGTATAGTCATTATCATCAAACGTTAATCGTTTAATTAACCTACGCACTATTGGAAGTATTGGGACTGAACAGTATTCCCTCCTTCCAAAAACATAGGTCAAATTGATTTTTTAAGGAAATGTGATCAATTTGACTAATTATATTTCTTAATACAAAATTATTTAAAACATGTGCATATCCTTTATTAAAAAACTTTCAATAAAAGTACCAATTTATTAAATTTCAAACAAATATAATATCTAAAGTCATTGTCTAATTAAACTTTAACATGCCACTGACCAATGAAAGACAAATTAATTGATTAATCTTTTTGGGACGGAGGGAGTACAATATTACTCAACTCTACTAATGTAAAATATAGTTATAGTATATAATACTATAGAGTATATAATTTATATAGGGATAAAATTAGCCTCTTAATAATAAAGGGAATTGAACACGACAAAAAGTACTTATATGAGACCAAACACATCACGAGTTGGGTTCATTGAAAGATGCTTAGCTATTTACCTCTCTTGGCATCAGAGTTTTAGGAATCACCCTGAAAAATAATATAGAAAAATGTAAAAAAAAAAGAAAGTTAGAAAATAACGAATATTTATCATGAAAATACACATAAGGAAAAATATGGAAAATATAAAATAATGTTGGAATAGGATGATATATACCCTAAGACGTGGCGGCCCCCATTATAAACAGCTTGGGAGACCAGACCCATTAAGCCGATGCTCCCACCTCCGTAGACCAAGTCTATGTTCCTCTCGACCTGTCATTATATTGAATTGTAAACAATTAATTAAATGGGGAGCAAATATGGAAAAAGCACAAAACACCAAATACGTTTAATGAAATTGACAAATATTATTTTAATTTATTTTTTAATTTTTAATAAGATCATAGCTGAAACACGTAAGTCTAGATTTAAATAGACTACTAGACTTAGATAATATGAAAGCACATATAAATTAATCACATGTCACCTAAACAGATTAAATTAGATTAGAAATCAGTGTTCACGTGAGAACATCCATAACCCTTCATAACCCATTTCAACCTCAATTAAGTAAAAACTTCGCACTTTCATTCTTTTGTTTATAATGGCGGTCGAACCGCAAATTATAACATGGGATCGGTCAACCATGTGCATGGTGTGCCGATCCCAAAACGACATTATATTAATTAAAATGACAAGCTCATGGGGACGAACGTTCCCACCCTTGGCAGGACACAGGAGGCCGTCCCCACGCTTTGACAGGAAGCCAAGATCCTGGCGGTAGGCAGGTCACAAGGTCATGGGGACGAACGTCTGCACTCCTTGCCAGGAAGCCAAGATCCTGACGGGAATCAGACGCAACTCATGGGGACGAACGTCTTAGCTCCACTCCTACTGTTCATGCGTTTTTTTTTAGTTTTTTTTTGCAAAATTACGTCGTTTTGGGGGTGGAGCATGATGTTCCGTACGTGGGATGATCCCACGATATACGGACTCTGGTAGAACCGGACAATTTTAATACAATATTACAATAGATAAATAAAATGTGAAAGACATGGAAAATTAAACAGTGTTAGCATTGAGCATTAATTAGTGCATGGTAGTACTTGCTAGTACTCTGCATTAAATACTACTTCTCCGTTCCATAGTAATATGCTTAATCCCAAAACCATTTAATGAAAACTATATATGGGGATATATAAAAGACATTTTATTTAATTAGTTGTAAGAATATAATTTTTATGCATATGGATGCAAGACTTTGTCATTAGTATATACGGAATATAATTTTTTACTAGTTACAAATACATAAACTTATATTTTCACAGTTTATATGAAACAAACCAGACAAATTAATGGACTATGTTTTTTATATTACTACCAATTAATAAAATGTGGTCCATGTAAGTTAGATAAATAAAATGTGATCAAATTATCGACACACAATTTTGACAATCGTTTTCTTTTAGTAACAAATATTTAAGAATCAGATTATGCAAATTTGTGATGAGACCAATGCAACAATATATCTAAAAAAAAATAATTCTCATAAATTAATAAATAAAATATAGTCAAAATAGAGCATAGACTATTCCATGTTGCAGCTAAGGAGAGATGAGGATAGTATATACCAGCTGGTTGGCGAGCTGAAGAGCGGCGAGATGGTAACTGGGGTTCTTGCCGGCGCTGCTGCCGCAGAAAACACAGATACGCTTGAATCGCGACGGCTTTGCGGTCAGATCAACCACCTGAGATGGAAGCCGCAGCTGGGGAAGAGAGACTGATGAAGAATCAAGCCCTTTTTCCATTATTCTTTTATATATATATATGATATGATAGAAAAGGATTGGGTTTTAAGAGAGCTAGGAAGTCGACGAGGAAGCTGCTAGCTAGCTTAATTAAGGCAAATGAAAGCTTCCCCTTTGGTTTTAAAGGATAATAAAATAGTAACTTATGAAAGAGGTGAGGTGGAAGATTGATCTATGTCTGTATTTTCAGTTCACTACTTTGGTCTATTTAATATGTACTTAAAATACATCCGACCCCACGGCCGCAGTACTTGCCCCATTAGGTATAACAAATATCTTTTGTATGAATGTTTATTATTATTATTAGGGTAAAAACTAAAGGTACTTTCATTGAATCAAACCCATATAAGATAAGGCAATGCCTATGGCCAGTCTTTTAATTTGGTGAATTAAGTGGGACAGTCATGGTTTGACCTTTTTGTTTTAGTCACCAGCCATGATTTTGATTTTCACTTTTCTCTCGACAAAAGATATTTGTGATTTTGACCATGAAAACATCCCGGAGTGGTTGAATCTGCTGAACTATATATAAAAAACAAGTAGTGTTTATTAACCGTGAATCTTCTTAAATAAGAGTGAAAACGTTCGAAAATTCCAAAACAGGAGTGCTATATTTATATTCCCAAAATTTTGATTAATTACTATACAGTGGAATATATTGTCACTTTCGACAGCATAATGTCATGTTTAAATTCTGATAATGCCAAAATATGGCCGTAAATTTTCATGATGACATTAACATACTTTTATTGAAGGTTGAAAAAAATATCAGTTCTAATTTGAAACTTTTTAAACACTTGTACTTCTATTTCAGACATTTTCCCTTTTATTAATCAAATAAAGACAAAATAGAAAATGGTCATTTACATAATTTGGAATAAAGTAACTTCAAACTTACTTATTTAGATTATTATAGTGAGTGTAAGTCAAAAGTCAAGAGCCTATTTGATAACACTGAAATTGGATGAGACAACCGAATCTGCTGAAATTGTTGAAATGTGGGCTGAAGCGATTAAATTGACTAAATTATAGAAAAATATATTCAAAATATATATTGTTAATAAGTTATAGAAAAATATAAGTGAAATTAGCTAAAATGGTCACCTAAATAACTTCGGCCGATTGAGCTAGAAAAGTAATTCAAACCTCACTTATTTTGAATTGAAAAAATTCCACTTTTGGTCTCATGACTATTATACCACTTCCACATCTAGTCTCTTACTTTCAATTTGTCCACATTTAGTCCGTGACCATTTTCCTCTCACCACTCGTCGTCCTTCCGGCCAAAATTCCGGCAAATTGAATCCGGTAAGAATTATAATGTCAAACATGAATGGTAGTTCAGTCATTTTAGATACTTAAAACGGCTACCTGCTAAACTACCTTCAGACCTGTACTTTGAACGGAGGAAAATTTCTTCCTCTCAACCACACTCCTCCTCCACAGTCCACACTGAAGAAGCTGTACACAGATATGGGACCATTTTCATTTACTTACCTTTACCTTTATTTGAATGAGATTCCCTTTTCCCTTTATCTTTTTACATTTCAGAAATGGGACCATTTTCATTTATTCTTTACACAAGGTTGTGTGTGCTTGTGTGCGGTTTCATGTATTTATTTTCTTTTTTATATGAAAAAATTATGAATATGTATTTTTGTGCTTGTGGGAACCACATGGGATGATTGACCTACTATATTAAATTGTTTAAAGCAGGTTAAACTACCTGCCAAAACACATATACTCTAAAGTTATTCTATGACGGAAGAGTGAATGACAGGGGAAAACCTTCATACATGGGAGGCACAGTTCAGTTATTCCATGATGTAGAAGTTGATGAGTTTACGTTGATTGTCTTACATGAAAAACTTCAAGAGCTTGGCTGCACCCAGAAGGTAAGCAAAGTGTTTTCTTATTCAGATGATACCTTACATGAACTAAAAGAATAAAAGATGATGCATAAATTTGGGGGTATGTCAATGATGGAAATGAGGGTAAGGTGGTTGAGTTGTGGGTTGAATTTGAAGACATGGGTGATGATGGCATGGGTGATGAAGGATTTAGAAGTTTTTTCTTGGGATGATGCTAACTCTGATTTAGAGGACTTTATCAGTAAGGGTGATGTTGAGTTTGCAAACAACACAGACCCTACAGTTGAATATGGAGGGGTACACACCAGTAGTGAAGAAGAGTACGCTGAAAAGGAAGCATCAATGGTTGACCATGACCCCAATTTGTGAGATGATGGCTCAATAAAGGACTCTGATTATGAGGCTGAGAAGTGGACCAAATTTAATGAAAAGACTGATATGAAAAACCCAACTTTTATGCTGGGTATGACCTTTTCCACCAAGAATGAATTCAAGGAAGCTGTCCAAAATCATGCTTTTAAGATGGGTAAAGAGCTGAAGTTTGTAAAATATGATAAGGAAAGAGTTGTAGTGGAGTGCAAGCATTTGGACTGTCCATGGAAGATGAATCTCATAAAGGTTGCTAATTCTCATTCCTGGAGGATACTGCAATAGCATAACACACATGATGGTTGCTCTTGGGTCTATCACAATAAAATGGTCAACTCAACCAAAGTAGCTGATAGGTGGTTTAAAGAGATTCAAAGTCACTCCAATTGAAAAATCAAGGAGTTTAGATAGAAGGTTTGTATTGATGAACGTTTTCATTTGAGTACAAGACAAGCATACAGAGCAATGAGTAAGACCAAGAGAAAACTTAGAGGTGAAGAGGAAGATAATTTCAAGAAGATATGGTCCTATGTGGCAGAAATAAAAAGAACCAATCCTCTGAGCATTTGTACTGTCAAGTTAAGTGAATATGTAGAAGTAGATGGCCAACAAAGATTTCTGAGGATGTATATGTGTTGGGAAGCTTGTAGGCAAGAATGGCCACTAGATCAAAAGCTACAGTCAAATCTGTTTTTTTGGGTATGATGATGCCCCAATTGACTTAGAGTAGTGGTTGATGCATTTCATGTATGTTTTTGGGTTTATGTATTTCTGTTAAACACTAATACATTTGGCCTCTAAATGGTTGTAATTTGGTTGTCATGTACGTGGTACATGTTTTTGTTAGATGTTTGTGTAGGGTGAACTTCTTTTTGCAATATGATGTGTCATTTAACTGATGGTTTGAATCTATGTTTGTGTATTTGTAACATCTTTCTATAGCATATCAGTTTATGACTATGTATTTGTAACATGGTTTATAAGAAACACATTGAAATGGTTTATCAGTTGATATGTGTTCTTGGTGGCATTAGAAACATATGTAACTACACACCATCTAACCAACCATAACTATGTAACATATAAGTTTATAAGTATGTATTTGTAACATGGTTTATAAGTTTATATGTGTTCTTGGTGGCATTAGAAACACATGTAACTACAACCCATCAGGGGCGGAGCCAGGGCACTGGGCCGATACAAAGAATATTTTTGAAATTTTTTTACACGAAATTTTTTACACTAAAAATATAGACATTTTTAAAATTTAGACTGGGCCAGGGCCAGGGTTAGCCTTCCCCTAGCTCCTCCCCTGCACACCATTGTCTAATTTTCAATCCAAAACAGAGATATCATATATTATGCTCTAAACATCATTCAAATCCATTGCTAACCAACTCAGAATAATCAATTAGTAAAACAATAGGATCAAACCTCATAGGTGCATCTAAACCATAACAGACATTACATAACTTAACCACTACAACTAGATTATTTGACTTTCATATACATGGATACAAATACAACAATAACTAAAATTATGCATACCAATGTCTTACATTTATTAGAGGTTCTCTTCATCTTCTCAGCTTTTAACCCTTGCATCTGTAATATATCAAGCTTCATCTCCAATGCACGAATTTTTTTCTCATACCCATTGATCTTTTTCAACAGCCATGGAATTAGTTTTTGAGACCTCTTGCACATTGGAGGGTCAAACCACTCCATAAAACCACAACCTTGAAATGTCTCCAACCACAACATTTAAACATAACTCTTTAACTGTATACTGCAATCAAGCATTTATTCAGAAAAAATGGGGAAACATAAACTACATTAAATGTAGACTACAATCAACACGAACAACAAAAATCTGACTTCCAATGCATTTCTAAAATCTTCTCCCACAGTTATCCACTTTCCATGTTGTCAAAAGCTTCAATTGTTGACCACATTCTCAATAGGTGTCTGGAATCCACTCGCCATATTCGTATTGACCTACTGAATTCGAACTTGCAACTTTACAAGTAGACATCGCCGCTTCAAGGTGTGGTGAGAGTGAAGGCCTGAGCTTAGGTTCCAAAAAATTAGGGTTCAATGCAATAATCTTCCAAATTTGAAGGCCTGAGCTTCATTTCACATGCGACGGAGAGGAGGTTAGGTAGGAGGAAGTAAAATGATAATAAATGACCCAACTACCCTCTACCTTTAACATGTTTAATTAAATTTGCTGGAATTTTGGCCAGAAGGACGACATGTGGTGAGGTGAAAATGGTCACGAATTAAATGTGGACAAACTGAAAGTAGGGGACTAAATGTGGAAGTGGTATAATAGTCATGCGACCAAAAGTGATTTTTTTTGAATATTACACAATTTGGTGCCGATGGATTATAGGAGTATCCAAACTATAATAAAATGGAGAGATTTGAGCTAATGTGAGGAAGAAGATGAATGAATAGTAATGTATGAATGAGTTGTGTTCTACAAGCTCCAAAAAGAGTATATATAGAAGAAATCCGGGTCTGGGCCTCTAATATGGGTCTGACAGACCCGGTTACATAAATGCACTGATAATATAAAAGGCTAATCTAGAACATCTGAATAATAATAATGTACAATAATGAAAATGCTACCAGCTGAGTGTACGTGGGCCGCTGCCCGGGCCCAATAGTCGTGAGACCCGGGGGTCCGAGTCTATATACTCTATCAGGTGCATTAAATCAAAAGTTGTGTGCATGTAACTTGATAAAAATGTTGCCTGATAAGATGATATAGAGGTACCAAATGAGATTAAATGATAAAGCTAAAAATAGGTATTACTAAAGGGACACATTGTGACAAAGTAAAAATAGTCAATTGCTCTGATACCATGTTAAGACCTAAGGTTCCATCCTAAAAGGTCAAGTAGATAGGAGGAGTAGCCTAAGATCTTAATATAGT